CAATTTACCGAGCACAGCTTAGTGATGTCCTCCGTCATTGCAGCCTCCTTTCCTGTGATGTAATCACAAGTCCCTGGCAAGAGTAACTTGTTCAGGAGGATCATCACGAAGCACCTGATCGTGAATTCATCACCCTCTTCATCTTTCACAATCTGTGCAATCAAATCTTGCACCTTGACATGTTCACTTTGATCGACACCAAGCTTCATCTTCAGTTCACATAACGCTTTCTTTTGGATGTCTTTACCGGTTACAACTATGTTTGTACCCCTATCTGGCAACCCAAGAACGCATTCGATGGAGTGCCTAGTAATTTTCAAGTGCTTATTATCTGTAATGCGCAAGGTAAGCGTATTGGGATCCAGCCTATCCATGAGGAACATCAACAACTTGGTGTTCTCAATACTTCTCAATTTCAAGTCCAAGAATATTCCAAAGTCATATTCTCTGAGTTTAGCTTTCACAGGTTCAGACAAACTTTTCTTGGCCACTAAAACTTGGTTGGGAGCACACTTATAGTTCGGGCATATCTTTTTAGAACTATTAATATTACCCTGATCATGACAGAAGAAAATAACAACAAAATAAGGTTCTACAACCAGCGGCACGTGACAACATCATTCAAAGATTACAGGAACATAAGACAAATGTTAACATAGCACAAACAACAACACCTCACAACATTTTACCTTTTTGGACTTCCTATTGTCAGGTTTAGAGGCCTTGCTCACACGGGCTGGCGGGTCAACAAAATCATCATCGCTCGGTGTGGCTGCCCTATCCTTTCTCTTTCCCGGAATATTCTTTTTTGGAACAGCGTGAGCTTTTGACGGCCTCCGAAGGTTTTCACGACGAGGGGGAGAGGAAGAAACTGCAGGCGGATTAGCAGCAGAGGTAGCTGCGCCAGCAGCAGCATTAGTAGGTTGTTGCTCATCTGCAGCCCTAACATTGTTTGTAGGGACATCTAACTTACTGGTATTGTCCTTAAACTTCATCGCTCTGTGCATATAAAAATAAATATAAATTAGATGCTCCGAAGACATGTATGTTGTTATTACTGTTAACACAAATTAGGGATGTTGGTTCAAGATTTTTGAAACAGGACAAATCATATCTATGCTATTTAGATAATACAAACTGTAAGTCCATAACTACAGGATATATTAGAGTTATATACCAACTGTGGATTTATACACCAGTATGCGCTGCAGATTTAGCACTGCATTTTTTTGAATATGAATGTTCTAAAACAAACATAGGGAAACATAATAGATTTAACTAAATGGTTGAAGTGAGTTGATTCGTTTTGTATGATGACATTCAGCATTGCATATCAACTGGTCCATGCACAGGCTTGCTCTCGTTACCTTCTGTATGATGAAATTCAGGTAACTAAAATTCCTCACTCCATCTACCCATATTTCGAGAATAATCGGACACCTACTCTTGCAAATTTACGGAGAGGGGCCGATACTGAAGAGCCCCAGCGGCGAAGGCCTGGTTGCGGTCCGTCCTGCTGGGAGGAGATGCAGACCACATCAACAAGCAATCAACGTATCCTCAGTCTGCTAAAAATCGACGGAAGGAGGTTACAGTGCATTAATTGGAGAATGTTTAGAAGGAAAACCAAATTATATATAGAGCGTTACATGCAAGAATCTACAAACACCGAGCACACCAAAAAGACAAACATAAGCAGTACCATTGAGGTTGCCCGTCTCCTCCAATGCACTCACGTACCCATGAAAAATTAACCCTGATGCAGTTAATGTCCACACAGTGCAACCCGGCCGCGATCACCCACTGCACCACCGCAGCGATCACCGCAACTGCTCTGCCGCGACCACCGTCCACAGCGCTCGCCAATACCCAGGGCAGCCGCCGGGCCTGCCCCATGACCACCAGTAAAGCCTGATGCAAAAAGCGGGGAGATAAACACTCACAACGAGCACCGGAGGTGACCTACCGACGCGCAAAGCCCCCTGTCACCACGCCGCCTTTCACTTCGTGTTGTTCGCCGTGGAGACTGCGAGCAGTTTGCAGACTTTTTTCCACAGTTGAAACCGCTCGGATCAGATCAGAAAATCACGGCAACGTGAGCTTACCTAGCTCCTGAACGGTTAGCAAAAAAAATTACCTCGATGCCAAGGCAAGTTTACAACGTGCCGTGCCGGCTTCTAAACGTACATCGCGTTCAGAGAACTATTTATTCCTTTTTTACGAGATAGAGCAAATTTATTTATTTACATATTCTTTCAAAAAAGATATAGCTACTTTGGAAATAAGAAGCGATTTAATATCCTCGGCCTACTGATTATGATGGTCAAAATTTACCTGCACTTTCTTTTTGCGGGTCAGACTTTTTTATATACAGCCAAAACTCATCCATACTTACTACTCTGGTAGAATTAAATTCCAGCTCCATTCACTTCTAGAGATAGGGCATCGAATCATCTTTAAATTGATCTGTATTTTATTCAGAAATTTATTCTAATGTCTTGCATTGCTTTTAAACATGGGGAATAAAACCAGTCCGACTCTATTATTCAATTTTACATGTCTTTGTCAATTGTAATACTACATCATTTTGCCATGGTTGTAAACCTATTTTATTATACTTTTGTGGTGCGGCCGATTACTCTGATGTCGCGTAATAATACTCTCTAATCATATATGTATCACCTTTGAACCAGTCAGACATTTTTTTTCACGAGCCTTGGTTCCATTAAAAAATAACAAACTCCCTAATTCAACTGCTGACAACTCTTTTTTTATTACAAACTAGCCCCATGTTCAGGTACACCCTAAACCATACTCGATAATTAACTAACATCCACGAGGGGGCATCGATTTTGATGTGTAGATAACTTCATCCTACACAATTCGTTGTTCCGCCTCGTACTCATCTGCATAACAGAATATAAAATGTGTCAGATATATTTCATCATACGATGGATACCTACAATAACAGAACTGACCTATTGTACATCTTGGCACTGCGATATCGCCTGACAGTCGGCGTAAATGGCCAAAAACCAGGTGTTCGTGCACAAGTGAACAACCGTTCAAATGCAGCGTGTCGCCCTTGTTGATTTTGTATATACTAGCAAACATCTCCTATTCTCCGGCGAGGATGTATTTCGATCCACGCTGTAGAACATCAAACTCGTACCATTCATATGTTGGCTCTATCTGCAATTTCAACTCACTTCTCCAAAATCGAGTCAACCTTTCTCCTAGAGTGCAAGGTATCACCTATCCATTTGTACAAAACATTACAAAAAATCACAGTCGGTGTAAAATCAGAGTCGGTATAAAACTTACCATCGTGCATCTGAATTGTCTCGGTACTCTGATCGAAAATTCGGAGAAGGGAAGACCACGAGCACATATTTGTATCGGGTATTTACATAGTCTGCACACTCTCTCCTGCCGAGAATCAGCCATTATGAATGAATCATATATGCTATGATTGCAATATTATATATATGCAGATCGCTCTGAGACAAAGTAAACAAATCACGAGATTTCGGACATGCAAAACAAACCAAAACGAAGGAGGCCTTTCATTCTTGCAACAAATCCGGTGTACTCAGTCTCATATGATTATTAATAGATCTATTAATAATACCAACAATTTTGGAACGGAGCTTTTATCCTACTACAAAGTCAGGAATGCCTCCTGATCCCGATTTTTGCTCCCTTTTATCTCGTCTAACCACGCAACCTTACTAACAAAAAAACACACCGTAATTTTACGGGGCTACTTCTCTCTTCTGGTGTAGGCCGTAATACTACTTCACTTATAATCAAATCTTACCACAAACAGCCGCCGGATATAAAGCACTAGACCAATTCTAAGGGAAGGTAAAATTACCTCACAAGTATTTTATTCTTACGCTGCGTGGATGCTGGTTCGACCCAATGCGTGAGTTGGTTGGGGTGAAGAATAAGAATTCTTCACCCTGGGTGACGAATAGACAATATATATATAGACACACACACACACACACACACACACCAAAGATGTGCAATATGAAAGTATATCTCATGATGTACCCAATGATATGCAATCGGTGACCCTAGCAAAAAAAAAATTCTCTGTAAACTTTGTCAAACTTTGCAATGTTTGAATTTTGAAAAGAATAGGCTCTGTATTATGGAATGGAGGTAATATGTATGAAAAATTAAAATAACTGAAATGAAATAATTTAAATTAATGTGTCAATATGACTGAATATATTGAAATTAAAAAAATGAAAATTGTGTGAAAATGAATGTAGAGTGCTTCTGAAATTGATTGAATTATTAATGGAATTTTTGAAATGGTTGTGATGAATTATAACCCGCATTTGCAACTGTTTTGGAACAATAAAGTGTCACTGAAAATTTCAAACTTTTTGAATTCGAAAAAATTGAATTATTATAATTTCACTGGAATTATCAATATGTTTTGAAAATATACTAATATCAAATAAATTGCATTTCTAACTCCTTTTCAAACTTTTTTTGGAAATTTATGAGCTGGATGCATGCACGTTGGAATCAGCCTTGTTGCATGCATGCATGATTGCACGGTATTTTTGAGCTGGCGAGATACGTTCTGAATTGATCGTCACGCATGCACGGGGCGTTTTGATTGCACGTTTTTGAGCATGCAGAGGGGCGAGCAATCGTTGCAATGTGGAAACAAGTATTGACCCTTGGTTCTCGTGCATGCACGCGGCGTCTTGATTAACGTTCGTGCCAAACGCAAATCGCCGCCCGCCCCTTGGAGTCGCCTGCCTTGGGAACTCGCCGCCGGGGAAGCCGAGGCATTTGCCCACGGACCAGTACAAAAGCACCAGCCAGTACACGCGAACGCCAAACCTGCTCACATTCCTCACCCACGACTCACTCCCACGCTTCCGCTGCCGGCCATGGACTGGTCCTCCCTCCCGCCGGAGCTCATCCACCGCATTGCCGGCGGCCTGCTTGACACCGCCGACCTCGACTGCTACATGGCTCTCCGCGCCCTCTGCCACAATTGGCGCGCGGCCACCGACGACCCCACCAACACCATGGACCACCGCTTCCGCCCGCACAACTGGGTCATGCTGGACTACCCGTCCCACGGCGACGACACCCGCGTCCTGGTGAACACCGAGACTGGTCGCTTCCACGTCAGGGACATCCCAATGCTCCGCCGCTATTTCATCGTCTCCGTCTCCACCGACGGGCTCCTCGTCCTGGCAGAGAAGGAACCGCCTCACGCCGCGTGTGTCCTCAACCCGTTCACGGGCTACATGGTCCGGTTCGCAGCGCGCATGCGTCCCAACGTGATGGCGGCCGCCGTCTCGGGCTCTTCGCCGCTCTACCTCGTCATCTACTGCAGCGATTCCAATAAGCTGTACAGGGCCGACCCTAGCTGCCAAGACTTCGTCAGGTACAAGAAGAAGTATGCGTACCCTCTGGTCAGGATGGCCGTCCAGGGCTGTGTCGCCATTGACGGCCACCAGTATGTGCTGCCGCCGCTTCCGGCCACGGTGGTCGCCAAGATCGCTGATCTGATGACGCCGTTTGCCGATTACCCTGACAACCAGATTGGCATCGCTGATTGGCCTGGTTGTTTCGTGGTGGAATCCGCTGGAGAAACGCTGATCGTCTTTAAGCTTGAGAATCGTCGCATCGAGGTGTTTAAGATGGTCAAGGACGGAAATACGCTTGAGCAAGTGACGGGCATTGGCAGCCGTGCAATCTTTATAAGCGGTGGTTGCAGGTGTCTTTCTGTCGATGCCGCTCAATTTCCGTCCATTGAAGCCAATTGCATATACCTCACGCCTCATATAGGCTGGCCGTGCACTGAAATTTATCATCTCGTGCACGGGGCGCAAGGTCAGAGCAGCATGAGCGTGATTAAGAGGATGGAATACGAAAATAATCTTTTTGAGCAGATCCTGTCCGGTGACCTGTTTCTTGAGGACCTACCTCCCTTCATCTGCAATCCTTTGAACACACATCCTTGTACCATCATTTTTCTGCTGTCCGCCTTCACTTTGAACAAGCAGTCTTATGATATGTCGAGGGTGTTAGAGCATGAAGATAAACTTCTTGAGCAGCTCCAGTCCGTTGGACTGTCGCTTGAGGACCTTCTTCTCCCATCCTCTCAGGAGGATACTGATTCCGATGATTGATCCTGTATTGATCCCTATATGTTTTTTTTAAGCGTTGTATGAATAATGTGTTGCAGCTCTTTTGGTTCTCTACTGTGGTTTCTGATGTGTGCAACAGGCAACTTGTTCTGTCTTCAAAAGTATATCAATGCAATGATCCATATCTTAAATTATATATGTTATGCAAGCTTCATCACTGTGGCAATTCAATGTGTGATAATAGAAATATTTGCTGAGAAAAAAATTGCAATTTGTCGTTCCAATACAGTACAAGTTTTTCAAATATTTACCTCTCACTAGGGCGCATCGTGGCACACCCCATGATGCTACCAGCAACCACCCTTGCACGATTGGAGCAGTACCACGCACCCGGTCTCCAGTTATCAACACGGTGCTCGCTCTAATTTGCTATTGTTCTTTAGTTTCCCTATACGTTTCTGCTCCAGTTTCATTTATGGTTAGTAAGTCAGGCCTTCTGCCTTGGAATCAATCAGACTGTTGCCTGTTTGTGTGCCTATAAGGGACTGTTCTGCAAGTTATCATATCCTTTTGTGCTAATTTTGATTGGGTGCTTTGCTAGTTGCTCCTTCCATTCCTAGTACGTGTCATGGTTTTAGCTTCAACTAAAACCATGAGAAGTATTGTGGAACGGAGGAACTACCTATGGCTAATCTTAATCTATCTTCCATAACTTGGGTCGTCCGATGTCTAGGACAACCTGACAGATGTGCAGATGCGCTCTCTGAGTTAATGCTGCAAAAATCCAGGAAACCGATCTCATAGTAATATTTCTCCTGAAAAAGACCTTGATCTATTCTGCCGGGCGCGATAGCATTCAAATTCGCAAAAAATCCATAATCTGCCGGCGGCATCCTCTCAGCTTTGCAATCTTCAATCTTTTAACCTTACTGATCGAATGCAGCGTGACTACTATATTAACCACCACACTTGCCTGCATTGCGGCTCCTAAAACAATCAAAATCACCATCGTCTACGACCCAACTGACCACTCATTGAAGCCATATTTCCTTGCTAACATCAATAATCTCAACGCTAATCTCCAGGATCCCTGGGTGATCGTGGAGATCTTTTAACCTTCTTTTCTTTGCCCTGGACAAAAACAGTCCCAATTTCAAACAAACTAATGCTACCGTGTTCAATGATTGTATCGACAATCTCGGCCTGATCAAAATCGCACTCCTTGACTACTGGTTATTTGATATAGTAACCGTGACCATGCCACGCTTCAAAAACTAGATTGGGCGTTGGTAAACATGATTCGTGATGACGTTACATTGCTCAGTGAGGCTTTGAGACCTACCCATACGGCAGAGGGGTAGTGCATGTTCTTCAGGAGTGCTTTCCGATAGGCAACTGTATATGTTTGTGTTCGCTTTATGCTCGGGGTGCTTAACACCCCTCCCCTATACTTTGTACTTTTTCCCTTCACTATAATGCAAAAGCAGAGCTCCTGCTATTCCCGTCAAAAAAAAAACTAGATTGGGTGATCAAAACCAATGCCCAAGATCGCTCTTCCGAAACACCACATTTTCATTTATGAAGCGCTTCGTTTCTGATAGCGTTCCCAAAAAATACAGATCCATGCACGCCTCATGTCTGAAAATTTGGAAGGGCACCAAGGTGCAGGGGCATGCATCTCCCCGGATCAAATGATGCTTCGTGATCTATAAACTCATTTGAAAGATAAAATTGTCAATGCATGTATGTTTGTATTCAAGTAACCTTAATTTTCCTGAAAAAACACTATTGTATGTTTCAATATATTTTGTTAAGCTGATGAGTAATCTGTTTCAGTACTTTTGGTTTTGGGTCCGTTTATGTCACATCTAATCTACTACCCCTATAAAAGCAAGAGAGGGCGGAGAACCAGATCATCCTATCCATCAAAACCTGCAATCTGATGGTCTACATCCCTCCAGCATACTAAACGCGTTTTATGTCTTAATTACCCACCATGCCATTGCCTTAATTAATTACGCACCATGCCATCGGGGTAACATCTACTACCCCTGTATCAGAAAAGAGAGGGGGCTAATCCTACCCGCTGCCACAAAAAACAAAAACCGCTCCGCACGCCACGCCCGCACCACACCCGCACCACAACCTCGCCCGCTCCATCTCCCAGCGGACGCCGATCCTCCCCCGTCGTCCGCCCCGTCTGCCGCCCGCCGATCCACTCGGCCTCCGCCGCCGCCCGCCGCCCTAAATCCTCGCCCTCCTCCGCCACCGCCGCTCAGCTTGGCCTCCTCCGCCGCGCGCGAGGAGGTGGAGGGTGAGCGCGGTGTCCTGGAAGGTGGCGAGGCGGAGGCGGGGGAGTAACGAGATGGCCGCCAGGTCGTGCTTCCTTGCAGTGCGGAGGGTCGAGGTGGAGGCCGGGTTCTGCTTCCTTACGGTGCGCGCGGTCGAGGTGGAGGCGGAGACGGAAGGCGGCGAGGAGGGTCGAGGTGGCCGCCGGGTTCTGCTTCCTTGCGGCGCGCACGGTGACGCCAGCTGCTGCCCACCCCAAATCGCACTCCACAAACGCACGCCTCTCCCAACTCAGGCCATCCCCGAACAGCGACCACGACGCCCCACCGCTGGCCCCTTCGCGACCACACTCCCCATGATGCCTGCCGGTTCTCCGCCGCCTCGCCTAGGCCGTCTTGGAACCGCCGCAGTGGCAGCTACAGTCAGGTTACCACCACTTCCTGGTCTTGGTTCTGATCTCTGTATGTCCTTAGCAGTATATATACAGTTGTGGTATACTTCAATGAACTGGGAGTTGCCCGTCTGTAGCTTCATAGGTGTTGACATCTGTTGCAATTCGTATCACATTGAACCAGTTTTATATTAGTGATCTAAATGCTCTTGTATTAGTTTACAGAGGGAGTACCAGCTACCGATCTGTCGCATCATGCTTGCTCTCTATGTTATCTTCTGTTTTTGAATGAATTACATTTTGCTTGCTGCAATAGCAGTAGACTGATCTGTCCTCAGTTTTGAGGTTAGGCTAATTTGAGCGAAATGCAGTTAAAAGCAAGAAGCAGTTTTAACCAGTGAAACTGAATATTATTCTCTGAAGAGACATGCCTTCTTGATTGACGAACAGGTTATCCATGTTCAGGTAAATGTCATTCGTCTTTTCTCAACATTGTGGTCGTGCTCCACAATTCAGATACTATTGTGAGTTATTGGAGTGATATAGTGTTCATCTACTACTACCCTTATAAAAGCATGAAGTTTAGATCTTTCTGTTGTGCTGAAATTCATGCATATCTCTGTATACTGGATTATTTGGTAAGCTGTGCTATTTATGTTGAAATAATATGAAATTATATGCAAAGCTCTGCAACTGCCTTGAGTAGGTGATAGTTAAGAAGAACATAGTATGTGATGGTCCAATGAGGAAGAAATATAAGTCGACAATGCTGCTGATGGGTGGCACTGATAGTCCCAATGCCTTTGCTCTTGGATCATTATTCAAGCTTATTCTTTCCTACAACAAGAAAGAGGATGCTGAAGGAGGTATTGCAACTAGAAAGGTATCTGGTTTACAACTTGATTCTGAACTTTGTTCAAACATGCATGATTGTTTTATCCTCTGAAGACAATATAAAAGCTTTTGCCATGTTATTACTTTTTAAAGTTCCATAAACTGAATAATCTTTAGAATGCACGTAAGTATTGTCATATGAAACTGTTCATCCATTGGTAAATTCTTTTCCTACTCTTCTGCATCTGAAATATTTCCAATTATCACGCTGCAAGGAAGACTTTTCTTGCTCTTCTACTGAATAAACAAGAGCGTCATAGTATGTAGCTCAATGATGCTTAGGTAGTGGTAATTATTTATTGGCATAGTGTTTGTCTGCTTCTCATCAATGAGCTCATCATGGTTTTTTTTAAATGTTGATGCATTTATTTTGTAGAGTTTGATACTGTTATTGTTATCTAGCATCACATGATTTCATAGAATTTGACGGAAGTTATGTTGATCCCTTGCTTAAAGAATTTTTAGCAAGAAAGCAGATCCTATTTATTTCTCATTAGTTAGAGAAAAAACGAACAAGTGAACTCCAACTGCTATAATTCTTTTTTTTGCAAAAAAACTAAAATGTCATTAAGCACCATGTACTACTAACATATGACTGACTTATTAGTCAGAAACCGTGTAGTGAAAAAGTTTGAACTATTTAGCTACAGGACAATCAGTTGGACTTCATGTCCATATGTGACCAAGTAGTTTTAGGCTGATAAGTATCACTAGAACCAGCCTGAAATTTGACCTCTCGGAACATAAAAAGCAGAGACTTACTTCAGCAGCATGTGGTCAGTTCCCCTCACCGGCTACCATCTGTCTCAGAGTTTGGTTTTTTCGGGAGATTTCAGGATAGAAAGGCAGCTTTAGAGAGGGGTCGCAAAGATCAAGGCTATTATGTCAAGTACTATGCTCAAAACATCCATCGGGTGCATCCATCTCGCCCCAGTTCATCACCGACTACCAAGCGATTTACATCCACTGCGATCATGGATGACCCCGTGAGACATGCCACCCTATTCTTCCAGATACAATGGGTCGATTAATACGGCATTTTGATATGCTGATCACGCTTCCGTTTCACTAAATTTCTAGTACAATACTACTTACTTTCTACTAATACTGTTCTGTCAACTGAAAAAATCAGAATTATCGCAAGATTTTCGTGATCTATATTCGAGCTTTTAGTATACGTTTTGTTTTAGAAGCGGATAAGTGGTGAAGGGTCGTAGATAGGAATACTTGTCATGCACGTCTATCTACACTCTTCTCAGCCTAGAAATCATTATGTGCTTGCTGACCTGTTTTGCTCACATTGCCGCTGAAACTGTGAGCGGTCCTTGCATTTTTTTTCTTTTTTTCGAGAAGGGGGTATGCCCCAGCCTCTGCATCTAAATGATGCATACGGCCAAAGAGCGGTCCTTGCATGTCTTGTGTATTCATTGAAAGCGTCTAAAATATGGAGTTGCAACATGGCTGCTAGCTGCTACTTTCATGTTATCAGAAGAAGGCCAAAGCTCTCATTTTCTAGATATGTCAAATTTAAATATGAATGATATTTTAAGAACGGAATCTCTTGTAGGGTTTGGGGGAGACTGTCAGCGAGCCACTGATGAAAGTCCTTTTGCAATGACAATGATAGAGAAGATTTGAAAGATCTCACTTGGCGTGGGGCAACTTGTGTACTCCTGGATGGGGGCGCCGTCCGGTGGCAGGGCACAGCCGGGAGGCGTTGTTGTCATCATTGTGCTACATCACACATTTTTCTCGCGGTGATTGTGTTACTGTTGTTGTTATCAACAACCTACCACGACGGTATGGGAGGTGATGAAAGTTAGATGCAGAGGCTACACTTAGATATATGATCTTTGCGGTGAAGAAAAACATGAACAATAATGTGTTGGGGAACATAGTAATTTCAAAAAAAATCCTACGCACACGCAAGATCATGGTGATGCATAGCAACGAGAGGGGAGAGTGTGATCTACGTACCCTTGTAGATCGACAACGGAAGCGTTTGGTTGATGTAGTCGTACGTCTCCACGGCCCGACCGATCAAGCACCGAAACTACGGCACCTCCGAGTTCTAGCACACGTTCAGCTCGATGACGATCCCCGGACTCCGATCCAGCAAAGTGTCGGGGAAGAGTTCCGTCAGCACGATGGCGTGGTGACAATCTTGATGTACTACCGTCGCAGGGCTTCGCCTAAGCACCGCTACAATATTATCGAGGATTATGGTGGCAGGGGGCACCGCACACGGTTAAGAATATGATCACGTGGATCAACTTGTCTCTAGGGGTGCCCCTGCCTCCGTATATAAAGGTTCAAGAGGGGGAGGCCGGCCGGCCATCATAGGGCGCGCCAGGAGGAGTCCTACTCCCTCCGGGAGTAGGACTTCCCCTCCCCCCCAATCCTAGTTGGAATAGGATTCGCGAGGTGGGAACAGAGAGAGAGAGAAGGAGGGGGGCGCCGGCCCCCTCTCTCCTTGTCCTATTCGGACTAGGGGGGAGGGGCGCGCGGCCCAGCCCTGGCCGCCTCTCGTCTTCTTCCACTAAGGCCCATTAAGGCCCATGTACCTCCCGGGGTTTTCCGGTAAAATCCCGAATTCACCCGGAACACTTCTGATATCCAAATATAGGCTTCCAATATATCAATCTTTATGTCTCGACCATTTCGAGACTCCTCGTCATGTCCGTGATCTCATCCGGGACTCCGAACAACCTTCAGTACATCAAAATGCATAAACTCATAATATAATTGTCATCGTAACCTTAAGCGTGCGGACCCTACGGCGTCGAGAACAATGTAGACATGACCGAGACACGTCTCCGGTCAATAACCAATAGCGGGACCTGGATGCCCATATTGGTTCCTACATATTCTACGAAGATTTTTTATCGGTCAGACCGCATAACAACATACGTTGTTCCCTTTGTCATCGGTATGTTACTTGCCCGAGATTCGATCGTCGGTATCCAATACCTAGCTCAATCTCGTTACCGGCAAGTCTCTTTACTCGTTCCGTAATACATCATCCCGCAACTAACTCATTAGTTGCAATGCTTGCAAGGCTTAAGTGATGTGCATTACCGAGAGGGCCCAGAGATACCTCTCCGACGATCGGAGTGACAAATCCTAATCTCGAAATACGTCAACCCAACATGTACCTTTGGAGACACCCGTAGAGCACCTTTATAATCACCCAGTTACGTTGTGACGTTTGGTAGCACACAAAGTGTTCCTCCGGCACACGGGAGTTACATAATCTCATAGTCATAGGAACATGTATAAGTCATAAAGAAAGCAATAGCAACATACTAAATGATCGGATGCTAAGCTAATGGAATGGGTCATGTCAATCAGATCATTCAACTAATGATGTGATCCTATTAATCAAATGACAACTCTTTGTCCATGGTTAGGAAACATAACCATCTTTGATTAACGAGCTAGTCAAGTAGAGGCATACTAGTGACACTCTGTTTGTCTATGTATTCATACATGTATTATGTTTCCGGTTAATACAATTCTAGCATGAATAATAAACTTTTATCATGATATAAGGAAATAAATAATAACTTTATTATTGCCTCTAGGGCATATTTCCTTCATAATGCAACTATCCCCTTTAATGGGATTATTCCATCATTGGTTATCTGATTCAATCAGAACAGGAATGCACCAGCTATGTGACTGGCACAAAAATTATTGGTGAAGTTTGCTCTCATGTTACACAATTTTTTATTCCTTTTCCACTATTCCTCACTTCAACCTCATGGTTGCACTATTGTTGCTCTGTAACCTGATATAGCTTTTTGATAATCTATTTATTTATTTGTGTGAGCTTGAATTCTAATTCTTATTTCCATAGACCACAAGTTGTATGGGCTTATTTAACCTACTATCATGTACCCATTGTTCAGTTATGTCTATTGCATTTTGTTTTTCATTAAGCTTGAAATTTTAGACCTGAAATTGATCTTCGTCAAAATTAGTTCAACTGAATGGAGCAAATATGTGATTTAGATATAATGATTCACTGATTTTACAGGGACAAGAAACCTTTTTTTGATTTTTGTTGTCATCTTCCCACACCTGCCGTAAGTACTAAAGTAGTATACTGAAATATGAGACATATTCGCGAAGTGTCCTCTCCTTTTAGTGATTTACAGTGGTAGTATTATTGATCTCCCATGTAGTGTGCTGACCAATGAGCAACTTAAATACCTTTCCAACAATTAAGTTGGGTAAAGAGAAAGCAGAGAACGAAATCTTGGTGAAGACATCTCAACAGAGATGAGATAATGTTGCCCAAGCTGATTATTGCTTGGTTTTTATATCCCTTTTTAGTTGTATTTTTATGCATTATCGACTAGGAATAGAGAATATCTCACAATCAAATTTCAAGTGCCTGTAGGAAATTCATAACATGGTTGGGCACTGTTATCCAAAACATATGTTACATTTTTCTCCATCATTATGCAACCTTTATTTGGATCATATTTTTTCTTACCAATTCTTTATTCATTTATATTACATTTATTTTCTGCTCATAGTATGTTTCTTGAGAAATCAATGGACCCTATGCCCACCATTGATCTAAACATGGTTTATCGTTACTTACCTTTGCATGTGCAAGCAAGACGTGCATTGCACATGCAAGCTTACTAGTACACATCTAGATGTGGGATAATACCTCACATCTAAGTAAGATGTCAGTGCCACCTTATTTTTTTTTCATTGTTTGTCATATTCATTTGATTTTAATTTGTCAAAGCCCAAAACTAAAAAAATGCGTGCCCCGCGTCCGCCTGGGTGGCCGACCTATACGCAAATCTGGTCGCTAGCTCCTCTAAAAAAATCCGGTCGCTAGCTACACGTACAAAACAAATCTGATCGCTAGCTTGCTTCTGGAAAGAAAAACTAAAAGCTAGTGCTGACATCGATTTCCTAGCTTTTCCGTCTGATCGTTATACATTTACAAGTACGTCGCTCATCACTAGATTCAGGATACCAATGATTTATTTTTATTAATTTGTCTTTTGGTTATTGCGTTTTCCACTCTTGTATTTATAATTAATTTTTAGTAAGAAACAAAGTTTGGTCAAGAAATATTTCAAAAAAACATGTTCATGAATTTACATTAAAAATTCAAATTAAAAAAATATCAAAGAATACCAAAACTGTTCTAATATACGGCGAACAATCCTTTAATATATGATGATCATTTTCTGAATACACACTAATTTTTCTGCAATATAAATTGACCATTTTGTTATATACAATGAACTAAAAGAGAACTTTTTGTATATACATTGAAACAAAAGCGAACTGGAAAAAAACAAAAATAAGGAGAAAACCACATAGAAAAAATTGATAAATAAGAAGAGAACAAAAAATGAACAAATTTGGATTTTTTAAACTGATAAAAACTAACAAATTTAGAAAAATGAACAAATTTACGAATATTGGAACATTTATTGAAACTTGTGAATTTATGAAAAGTGAAAAAAGAGTATGAAAAAACGAAAATTAATGAGATCAACTTTTGCAAAATAGAAAAATGAAAAGGAGAGGAAAACTAATGAAGAAACAATGATAAAAGAAAAAAAATAAAAACGTGACCAAAACAAAAAATATAAGAAAAAGTATCCTAGCTACTTCGGCCAGCTCATCGCGGTTTGTTCATTGTCGAGGTTAGAATCCCAATGGCAAGTCGATGGTGGACACGCAATTGGGACAAAAAAGGTCGGGCCCCACTTGCATGTCAAGTTTGGACTTGCAACTAGGACAAAAGAGGATGGGACCCAGTTGCGAGTCAAGGGTGGACTTGCAACTGGGATGAGAAAAAGTCAGGCCCCATTTGTGGCTCGACGGTGGACTTGCAACTGGGACAAAAAAGGTCGGGCCCTAATTGCAAATCGAGTGTGGACCTGCAATTGGGACTAAAAAACTCGGTGCCATGTTGCGAGTCGAGTGTTGAGTTGCAATTTGGATAAAAAAAGGTTGGGTCCTGGTTATGGGTGGACTTGCAGTTCGTACAAAAAAATGTTGGGCCCCAGTTGCGAGTCAAGGGTGGACTTGCAACTCTGACAAAAAATGTTGGGCCCCAGTTCCGAGTCGAGGGTGAACTTGCAACTTGGACCAAAAAGTATAGCCCCATTTGTGAGTCGAAAGTGGACTTGCAGCAAGGAAAAAGGTTGGGCTCCAGTTACGAATCGAGGGTGGACATTCAACGAGGACAAAAAAAAAGATCGAACCCCAATTGCGAGTCGAGGGTGGACTTTAAGTTAGGACAATAAGATGTCAGAGTCTAGTTGCTGTCGGAAGTATGCCCTAGAGGCAATGATATTGTATTATTATATTTTTCATGTTCATAATTAAGAGTTTATATTCTATGCTAGAACTGCTATGATCCTGGAATATTCGACTCAGTGGAAAACGCATATGCACGTGTAAAACGATAAACGAGAAGATAACATTCCTAGTCTCGCCTCTAGGACTGGCTCAAGTGTTGTTCATGTTCACATTTTCCAGATCTTAGGATCATATTGAATCGACCCAAACTTGTTTGTTATACTTTGAGATGATATCGTCACAAGTCAATTGTTATAACACAGAGTGTTAGCGCATGTTTTAATTCCTTAGACCATGAGAGTATCGTAGTAACTTCTTACCTTACGTTGAGCTTTGAGGTTGCTCAAACGTCATCTGTAACATGGTGATCATAATCACAACTTATAGGTTCATTGAAAAGTTTGACAAGGGACTCGATATCTTGAGAGTGCAATTTGCTCCTCCAACGATGGAGAGATATTGTTAGGGACCTCTCGGTGTGACAACATCCATCATCGTAGACAGCCACAGACGACTACGTCACGAGGATGTCGGAACATGTCAACGAGAAAGAAGAACTAATCTGGTAACGACGAGACCTGTGTAGTGAGCACGTTTATGACTCAAGAGGATACCGACAGATCTTACCATAGGTTTTATAAAGTATTGTGAAGCAAAGGGAACATCACATGATAACCAAAGGTTTAGTCGAATATCATTCGTGTAATCAGGGATTGATATGGGCGTCCACGGTATCACTGTGGGTCATTGAACGAATGGGTTTCTTTCATTTCTATGTTTTACCGAACCTTCTGGGTCACAAGCTTAAGGTAACCACGATCTGTTGAGTGTTAGTAGGATAAGAGTATCAAGGATTTATTTATGAAATTGTTCCATTAGCATTTGAAATGGTTTCAAGAGGAACCAAAAGTGTTTCAACGTCACCGAAAGGGTTTCCAAGTTTATCGGGCAATACCGGGTATTACCGCTAAGTAATATATATGTGTAAATTGTTTTCAGTGTTGTTAAATTAATATTAAAAGACTCTTGTAATTGTTAGGAGGCTTCTCTATTTAATTTAGTATCAATGGGACTTAAAAGACCAAGTGGAGGTAGGAGAATTGGGCCCATAGGTCCAATAGGACGAAGTGGACTAGGGGAGGGTTTCCCCTCCCCCTCTGGCTGGTGCGCCAAAGAGGGATTCCTTCCCTCCTTGTGTGGTACCCCCTCTCTAGTTCTACCTCTCCGGCAATGATTAGGTCTAGACGGTGAAGCGCTATAGGATCGTGAAGGCCATACGCTTGCAACCGATAGAGAGGCCGTTCTTTCGGTCTTCCGTTCGAGGGACTGTTCTTGGGCGGTTCGCGGGATCGTTCATCTATGGTTCCATGGACTCCAAGTACGATATGCACCAACTCGTCTACTTCCACTACTACTTGGAGCCGGTAACAATCATGATCCAAACCATGTATGCATCTTCATATTGTTCGTGGGTGATCGTTGGGCCTTTTTTTCTACTACATTTCCAAAGTGGCATCATGAGATGTTCTATGAATAGATGAAGGTTACGATCTAAATCACATGTGGATGTGACAGTTTGATGTTCTTAGTATGCCTCCCTCGAGTCTCGCTTTAGTTCAGTTCATTGACAACATGATATAGTTTTGCACAAAGTTCAGACAATCGATTGGCTCTGGCTGTCGATGATCTGCTAACAGTTCTTTAGGCTTCATCATAGTTAAGAATAGTGATCCGTCGCAAACATAAGAGGGCAATGAAGATGAACGATCTTCTAGAAGGCCCACGCGTATTGATAAAGTTTTGTGTGGGGCTAAAGATTTTAATTAAGTCTCTTCCCTCACACACCCCAAAAGTTAATCTAGCAACAAGAATTATCGCCTTGGTGGTGGACATAGGTAACTAGTGTTATCCACAAACCATAGAAGCCACGTACTTAAAATTTTCCAAACTGATTAGAGAACCTCTAAGTTGGTTTTGCAGGTTTGCATGTGATCGAGAAGTCCGTACGCTTGCAACTCATAGAGAGGCCATGCTTTCGGTCTTCCGTTCAAGGGATTGTTCGTGGGCGGTTCGCGGGATCGTTCATCTACGGTTCGAGGGACTCCAAGTACGATTTACACTGACTCGTCGACCACCGCTGCTACTCGGAGTCGGTAACAATCATGATCCAAACTGTTTGTGCATCTTCATATTGTTCCTGGGTGATCGTATAATGATTTTTTTTTGTTTTCCACTACGTTTCCGAACAGTTGCGAGTCGAGAGTGGAATTACAACCGGGAAAAAGGCCGGGCCCCAGTTGCGACTCGTGGGTGGACTTGTAGCTGGGACAACAAAAAGGTCGGACCCCTATTTGCGAGTTGAGGTTGGACTTGTAACTTTGACAAAAAAAAGGCCAGGTCCCAGTTACAAGTCAAGGGGGCATTGCAACTAGGACAAAAAAGGTTGGGCCCCAATTGCGATCAAGGATGGACTTGCAACTAGAAAAAAAGGTCAGGACCCAGTTGCGAGTCGACAGTGGACATGTAACTGGGACAAAAAAGAGTCATTTCCCAGTTGCGAGGCGAGGGCGAATTTGCATTTGGGACAAAAAACGATCGAGCACCAGTTGCGAGTCGAGGGTGGATATGAAACTGGGACAAAAAAAAGGCCAAGCCCAATTGTAAGTTGAGGGTGGACTTGCAAACGGGACAAAAAATGGCAGGCTGGAGTTGCGAGTTGCGGGCTGAGAAAAGTGAAGCCAAACAGGCCTAGGCAAACAAAATGATACCTGATAAACAAACAGCGGCAAGCGAGCCGGAAGATAGAGAGCTTGACAAAATCATGAGAACTAAATCAAACCATGAATTTAAAATAGACTTATAAGATTTTAAAAATCATGGATGTTAAAAAATATTTTAAAAAAGCAAAAAGTTGTAAAAAGAAAAAGAAAAGATGGTAAAAAGAAACAATGCAAAAAATATATTTAAGAGCCTTGTTCCAAAAGACCGAATGAAAACTACAAGTTGACACCCTAGCTCCCTATACCTCATGGAGTGTACCTCTATACCTTGCCTTGCTTCTCCCTGCTCTCTCTTTTTCTTTTGATAATGTCTCTCCCCGCTCCCAATTACATTACTTCAGAAAAATTACAGCCATAAAAAACACGGACAACCCAGCCCACAAAAAATGCAAAACAGAAACTAATTGTTTTTGTCATTGTGCCAGGCCCGACAAAGATAACGTGACACAACTGAGCAACAAACATGACTGCATGGGATGTACTAGACTACTAGCTAGTGCGAGAGACAGTTGTGCGAATCTTATAACAAAGTTTCGTCCTACGATGATGGACGTAGATATGAGGTAACAATTTCACATCGAGATGTGAAATTGCAAACCCGTTTGTTTTTTATATCGTGGTTTCTGATGTGTGCAACAAGCAACTCGTTATGTCTTCAAAAGTAATCTACGAGACACCCTATGCCGCTCATTGGTGTACACCACCAAAAGGTTTGTCAACCTTTTCTGGGTCTCCACTTTGGAATGCAGGGCGAATTGTCGCTCGTCGTCATCAGCTCCTGTGAGCGCCATTGAAGCCGCTGGAGATCCTATTCATATGTGTCGTGCGTGTGCTTCTTGTGTTGTGCGGCATGATCAAAAGATTAAAAAGACAAGGTTAAATGGCCGCGGGAATACCAGACAGCCTGAAATATCGGCACGTCCAGATGGTAGTTTTGCACAACGTGGCGCATATAACTGCATGGTGGCGCCGCGCGCGATGCAACCGCATGCATACGACGCCCCAACCGTGATCGTGCGCCGGCACCAACTGCGAGCAGTGCGCACGAAGAGACGCAAGAGCACATCGCGCAGAGGATGCGAGCAGCGCGCGGAGGCCACGAGCAAAACACGTCACGGGCGCCTCAATCACGAGGAACCACATGCATAAAGCAATCGAACACGCATGGAATCTACATTTATTCAAGAAATGCATTGACTGGCACACAAGAGCACCCCTCACTGGAAGAATCTTCTAAGTTCTTTTGTCTCTACCATATCTAGACGTCCTGATTCTCATGCCTTGTACACTAAATTCTTTTAGTAGGAGGGTGCGAAGGGACGTGTTTTTTTTTGTTGCAATACCCGATCATATGTGCTAGTATAGATAAAGTGTAGTATATATAGGTGTGATCTTCTCCCGCTCAGTGGATTATTAAAAAAAATCCAATAGGTGGTGCCGCCATTGCCCAGGAATTTACATTTACACAAAAGAAATAAAGGCGGTATGGTGGTCGTAGTACTTAAACTGAAAGACAAGGGCGGATGGGGCAGGCCGTGTTTCCGGAGCGGTGCGTAGTGATGGTGGTACGGTGCCATGCATGTGTCGTCCGTGCTATGCTCGGCCGTTCCCTGCTTCAGTTCACGGGCAACGCGGCGTATGCGCCGTGTGTCGAAGCCATGTCACCTACTGTACATCCTCTGCTACCGTACGTGGACAAGCTAGCGGTCGAGCCTTGACTTGTTTATAGTCGTCCCTCCATCGGCGGACGTGGTATCAGTCCGATGATGAAGGCGCACCATATACGTACGCTGACGGTTCTTCACGTCCATCTCTGCCTCCATCTTCTTGGGTTGGATGGGTGGGTGGGCGGCAACCTGCATGCTCAACTGATCGTAGTACGTCTTTGCGAGAGCCGATTCACACAATGCGATTCGGCACTGAATCGTTGTCTTGAACAACTTACTAAATAAACCTTGGAAGTAAAGAAGAGGTAGATATATAGACGTACGGATAGATAGGTTCTCTTGTTCGTTTCTTACCTCGATCCTCGCGCCGACCCGCTCCCACGATCATCATGTCCGTCCATCCATGCAAGCATCCATGTGTCATGCATGCTCCCAGCCTCCCACGTACGTGTCGACCAGAAGCTAGCGTCCGCGTCGTCTATTAAAGCAAGGTCACCTACACGTACCTAGCGGCAGAGCAAGCCGAGTCACGGTGGCACACAGTGAAAGACACGGGAGACGACGAGAAGCAAAGCAGTAGAGAGCATGGCTCGTGGCGCCCCTATGCTTGCAGCGGTAGTGATAGCTGCGGTGGCACTTGGGTCTGTAGGGGCGAGAGAGCAGGAGGCCGCCGGCGGAGGGGGCGACGACTTGAGGCAGCCTACAGTGGCGCAGGGCCTGTCGTTCGACTTCTACCGGCAGCTCTGCCCCAGGGCGGAGTCCATCGTGCGTGACTTCGTCCTGGACGCCGTCCGGAAGGACATCGGCCTCGCCGCCGGCCTTCTTCGCCTACACTTCCACGATTGCTTCGTGCAGGTACGTACCGTTTCTTGCCAGCTCAGTTGATTGCCTCCCATCAACCCATTCATGAACGCGCCGCACATGCATGCAGGGCTGCGACGCGTCAGTGCTTCTAGACGGGTCGGCGACGGGGCCGGGGGAGCAGCAGGCGCCGCCCAACCTCACTCTCCGCCCGTCCGCCTTCAAGGCCGTCAACGACATCCGGGGCCGACTGGAGCGCGAGTGCCGCGGCGCCGTCGTTTCCTGCTCCGACATCCTGGCGCTCGCCGCCCGCGACTCCGTGGTCGCCTCAGGCGGGCCGGAGTACCGCGTGCCCCTCGGGCGCCGCGACAGCCCCAGGTTCGCCACGGCGCAAGACGTTCTCTCCGGTCTTCCCCCGCCGTCCTCGAACGTGCCGTCCCTCCTCGATGTGCTCCGGAAGATCGGCCTCGACGCCGCCGACCTCGTCGCGCTCTCCGGCGGCCACACCGTGGGGCTCGGGCACTGCACATCCTTCGACGACCGGCTCTTCCCGCGCCCTGACCCCACCATGAGCCCGGACTTCCTTGGCAGGCTGAAGCGGACGTGCCCGGCCAAGGGCACCGACGCGCGCACCGTGCTGGACGTGCGCACCCCCAACGTGTTCGACAACAAGTACTACGTGAACCTGGTGAACTGGGAGGGGCTCTTCGTGTCCGACCAGGACCTCTTCACCAACGCCACCACCCGGCCCATCGTGGAGCGCTTCGCGCGCAGCCAGCGCGACTTCTTCGACCAGTTTGGCGTGTCCATGGTCAAGATGGGCCAGATCAAGGTGCTCACCGGCGACCAGGGCCAGGTTCGCCGCAACTGCTCCGCTCGCAACACCGGCACTGCTGACGGCCTCCAGTGGTCGTCCCTGGTGCAGACCGTCGTCGACGCCGCCGCGGAGAGCCTCGGTTTCTAAATCTAGTGGAGTAGCTGTTAGCCATGCATGTCGTAATAAAATATGAGCAGGGCAGCCATGGTTGATGAGGCTGTGTAATGTACCTTGTCTTGACCCAAACGTCTGCAAGGCTGCCAGCTAGCAGACTTACGGTGACCTGTTAGTTTAATCGATCGATGCTTATGTTTCCTTGTTTCTAGCCCTTTTATCGCGGATTACACCCAGCCTCAACAACGCAATCTGGCAAAGACATTACCGATGCACACAGCCAACGACAGTAAAAAGAAAAAGAACATGCAACAGTGATCAATTTCTTGTAGCTGCAGCATGAACCAACTTTTAAATTGTAGCTGCAGCATGAACCAACATTTAGGCAAGAGGTCTGCTTCGGTACACACACCCCCCTCTCCCCCTCCCCTCCCCCTCGCTTAATGTATAAGGGCATCTTGGGCATACGACGTATCCTCTGGCGTGCCCATACAGGTAGAGCCGAGTGCACGGCTCGAGCCGATACGGCCGGCTCGCATCTACCCTCTTCCCGTCGTGCGAAAAAACCCACGACCGTCGTTGATCACGCGGCCCATTCCAACGTCGCCCCGTCCCGCCGATCGCCGCCCTTACCCGCCGATCGTCGCCTTTCTCCGTCGATCTAGCCGTGATCACGCTGCCAATTCCAACGTCTTCCCGTCCGGCCGATTGCCGCCTTTCCCCGCCGATCGTCGATCATTTTCTCCGTCTTCACCCGGGATCTAGACGGCGCGGACGTTGTTGGAGTCGCCCGCTGTACGTGATGTCGCCTCCGTACAAGTCGTCACGGTGACGTGGCCTACGTGGACGCCGTCGCCGCCCGCAACTCCGTGATCAACCTCTCCGGGAACGTTCTCGCCGTCCGCAGCCACGCCAGGCTGGCCGAAGTGCACGTGCACGCCATGTAAGCCGTCTAGTTTGTCAAAAAAATTGTATCTGTAAATAATTATGTGCAATCACTTGTTAGATATGAAGTTGTCATCTGTATGATCGTAGTACATTTAATTTGATTTTAAATTGATAGATCAATTCTTATTATAATATTGCAGTGTTGGTTGTGAGATTATTCAATGGATAAAGAAACTGCATTTACGGATCTGTTTTTGGACACGAGTGAGTGGGATGGTAGCGATAGTGTTGATTGTACGAATGGTAATGATAGTAAAGATGATGATGATGGCAGCAACAATGAATCCTGGTCGTCGTACGATAATTTACCTGAGGAGGATTTTCAAAAGAAGGGGGAGGGTTCTTGTAGTGAAAACGCAAGTGTTGTGTACAATCTTTTCGTCGGATGAAGAACCATATGATACTTACATGTGCATATGTTTTTTTATGTGCAGGAGGATATTGACGTCCAGAACGAGGAAAATCATGGTGTTGAATCTTTCGCGGATAACATAAGCCAGGTTCGGTCTAAAATTTAAGATGTCATTGAATATTAAAAACTTGTTAATGACAACTTACACTTGCTTATGTGGAATATTGTAGGCTAACTTTGATGGTTGGAGTGGTGATGATGAATATGAGCATGAGGATGGAGCTAATATGGACATTGGGGAAGCTGAAATCCAGCAACGTGCACTGGAGACACAGTTGAAGGTTATGGGTATGACATTTGCATCACAATGGGAGGCCTACATGTTCTATAATAACTATGCGAAAGACCGTGGATTCAGTATCAGAAAAGATAAGGTGAAACGAGGAAAAGGACTTTCAACCACTGTTCGGTATAGGCGATACGTTTGCTCGAGGGCAGGAAAACGTCTCAGTAAATTTTTAAACCCGGAGGGCCGTACCCGCAGGCTAAGACCTGAGACTCGTTGCGAGTGTGGCGCACATTTAGTCGTGAAGTTGGACAAAGGACGTGGAGTTTGGTTCGTGGCAGCTTTTATGGACCAGATGAGGTGGTATTTCTGCGGTCACATCGAGTGATGGGAGATCACCAGATAGCTGAGATCTTGGCGATGGAAGGAGCTGGGATCAGAAAGCATATCATCATCGAAAACTTCATTAGCAGGTATGGCTTGTATGATAAGTATGGGTTTTTGAGACGAGACGTGTACAACCTATGTTGCCGAGAAAAAATGAAGTTGATTGCGAAGGGTGATGCTAACACGGCAATCGGGATTATGAGGAGCAGAAAGGAGAACGATCCAGACTTTTTCTTTGAGTACGTGCTCGATAAGGAGGGCCATTTGAAGAGCATGTTCTGGTGCGATGCACAGTCGTGGCGGGACTATCAGTTGTATGGAGATGTGACTGTGTTCGACAGCACGTATAAGATGAACATATATGGTATGCCGTTCATCCCCTTTGTTCGTGTAAATAATCACCGTTGCACCATAGTTTTTGGTTGTGCCATTGTGTCCGACGAGACCGAAGCGATGTACGTGTGGCTGCTTCAGACATTCCTGAAGGCCAATTGTCAGAAAAAGCCAAGGTCAATCATCACAGATGGAGACGCTGCAATGATACGAGCTATTCGGTTGGTTTTGGTTGATGTGTTGCACCATCTCTGCTTATGGCACGTGGAAAAAAACATGCTGAAGCATCTTAATTACAAATCGCTAAATGAGTTCAGGGCACTCTTGTACTACTCCACCTCTCCAGCCAACTTTGAGGCGAGATGACACGCTTTCGTCCGTAAATGGAAGACTGATAATACAAAAGAGTGGTTAAGTAGGATGTACAGGAAGAGGAGTCTGTGGGCAGCATCATATCTGTCAGATGGTTTTTTTTTCGGGTATGCGCAGTAATCAGAGGAGTGAAAGCCTTAACTCTTCTCTCCACCTTCACCTGGACGGCGGTATGACTATTGTTGACCTAGTTGTGCATTATGAGAATTGCATAGTTCGACTACGTGAGAACGAGGCGCATGATGACTATGTTTCAAATCAGTCATTGCCACCATCAGTCACAGAATATAAGGATATTGAGAAGCATGCTGCCGAAGTATTCACTCATTCCAATTTTTATATTCTTCAACAAGATCTGAAGAAGATGGGAGAGCTTAAGATTTTTGAGACGCTATTGGGAGTTGACTGCCACACCTTCATCATGACATGAAGAAATAACCGCAAATTTCAGTTCGGCGTGAATTATCGAGCTGAAAACTTTGAGAATACGATAGACTGCAGTTGTGGACGAATGCTTCGGAAAGGATTGCCTTGCAAACACATTTTGTATGTGTTGGTTCATCTGAAAATATCTAAAATATCTAAATGTTGCATCCTTAAGAGGATGTCGAAAGTTGCGAGAGGTGGGCTGCCTGCACAGCGAAAAGAGTGACATGTTTGGCTGGGGTTGGACAGGGGCGGAGCAGCGTGCTCGCTATAGTCAACTCAGTATAACAGGAGCTGAAGCTTTTCATGTTGCTTCAAATGATCCATTCATCTTTGATGAGTTGATGAAGTGTTTGCAGAATATAATAGCGAAGAAAAAGGTCCCAGATAATGATGTTGTTAGTAGTAGAAGAAATGTGCATGAGGAGCCACGTCAGCCAGAACAACATGTTGATGTCATAGGTGATCCCGTGAAAGTTTCCACGAAGGGCGCCCCTAAACAAAGCACGACAGGGCGGGCAAAGAAAGATCCAAATGTTACAAAAATGGAAGACCAAAATCATTTTCTGAGAAAAAACCCGGTCCTCTTTGTGGCATTTGTAAGAAAGAGGGCCATAGACGGCAAACGTGCGCTGAAAATGAAAAGTAAGTTTTACATTATTTTAATTATTTTTTGGTTCTCTCTTTACAATTGTCTGATGAGTTGTTTATAATTTGTTATGTAGGAACCGGGCATAAAGATGAAGTATTCATAATCAATTGAAGGCACTCGCAATTTCGGTTTATTTATTTAAGGATAAGAGAAATGGCACTTTGAGTTTATTCTTTAAGCCACCTTGTTCGATGGAAGGCACTGGCACTTTCTGTTTATTTGTTTAAGGATTAGAGACATGGCATTTTGAGTTAATTTTTATGCCACCTTGTTCGATGTTATGAGACACGCCATTTCTATTATTATGTGTGAAACATGATATATTTGTATGAGTGTGTTACTGTTGTCATGACTTTGTCAATTGATTAACATTTTTTAAATTTAATATATGTGAAAAAATATTTGAAAAAAAGCCCAGCCGTGGCCGGGCGCGCGCACGGACATTATACTACAACGCCTTCTAGGAGGCCTTTTGGCCGGCGAGCGGGGAGGCCACGGCGTACAACAGGGCATTCATTAGTGTTCTGTAGCGAGCTTGTGAGAAGGCAAAAACGCGAGTATATAAACCGGTAGGCGCCTCTCTCCGCGGGCGAGGTGGGACTAAACTTAGTCGGCACAACGCGCCAGCGTCCCCATCCGCATAAGAAGAGGATCGGCCCACGCGCCCGACGCACGTCGTTTATGGGCCGACAGATCGCCATATTCCCCCTTGGGATCGTTGCATGTGTCCGCAGGGTGGGGCTGGACGAGACCTCTGCCACCGGGCGCGCGACTGTCGGTCGGTCGGCTGCTGGGCCAGTAGACCCGCGCGTGGCGCACGACGAATCGCGCCAGCCCGCACTAGCTGGACTGCGCGGGCCCGCCATTGCCTCGGCTGTCGACCACCGCACGGGCTGGGCTGGAATATTTGTTGGATCCAGCGCCGCTGCTGCCAGAAGAATCGACGTGGGAAATTGTGCAGGTTTTGTCCACATGGCGCCAACTCAGGACGGCAGGGATATTTTCTAATAAATAAATGATCGCCGTGAGTAGAAACAACAACAGTACATATAACATTGCAGCCACAAACTGATACATTTTAGGACAGCAAAAATATTACTTGCCCACACGCATTTAAATGTTTAGTCTCACACGAAAGCGATAAATAAAACGTGAAAAATTGTCGAAAT